ACTAGGAAGAACAGCTTCACTGTCCAGATAAGTGTAAAATTACTGACATGGAATAAAGATGTCTATAAAATCCATAATGGTATTATTCTGGAAGTCACAACCCTGTGGGACTCAGAAATGGAGAATTAAGGGAGAATGAAACTAAATTTTCTACTTTTGAGGAATAAAAAAAGGGCAAGAAGCATAAGTATTTCCCAAATCCTCCTATCAGCAAATTTTAAACAACATGATATGTTAGAAAGACTAAAAGGATTGAGCCATTACAGTGAGGACATGAGAGGAGCCAGCAAAAAGGAAGGACGAGCTGTGAACCACATTTGTCAGATCCTCCGCTCTACGGTATGTTCAAAATCTTGGTTTCCTTCACATAAACAAATTTACTAATCCCTCTATGCATTTGTGAAGATGCTTCAATGTAATGGTCTATTTTAAAATAAAAGAAAATTTGTTTTCCCAATAACTTTTCTTCCACATGTCTTACATTTTTGTCTAAGAACCTAGCACTTGTGCCTCTGCATTTCAAATACATGTTGGGCATTTTTCTGCTATTTTTAATCTGCTGGGCATTCTGGACATTCCTAGTATTTATAGTTTACTAATTTATTTCCTTGTGTAATCTCACCAAAGTGTGGCATGAAGCATATATTTTGAATTCTGAAACCACCCACCTAGAAATTACTCAACAGGTGTGATCCATATCAGTAACTTCATCTTTGGGTAAGGTTAAATATAGTGTTGAATAAGTTCCTTCAAACTAAGTTCCATTTTTCAGGATGAGTTTAGTCTCAAGCTTATCAAGGAAAGATAACCATGACTTTGAGACTTAGAATAAACATGAATCAAATCTCAATAATTATGCTAATAAGTTGGTACAAGGATAAGTTCATATTTCTCTTAAACATTTGTTCTTTGGCCAATGTAATTTGAAAGATTTATTGTTAAATTTTCTTCACGTATTTTGAGATATCATAATTGAATTTTTCTTTATACTATAAAGTAATAGAGAGAATCCCATGGACAAAAAGCATATTATTATTCTCTAATACTCTGAAGTTATCTTATTGATGAATTCCTTCAATTTCTATTTAATCCATTTTCAGATACCCACATCTCACACAATCATATCCCCTTGTGTCAGCAAAGGAAAATGTACCCCTTCTTTTCCAACATTAAATCTTCTACACAGACTTCAAATCTCTTCCTTTGCCACTTCCTTTAGGATTTAGCATCATCTCTTGCCTCCCCAATCTCCAGGGTCCTCCTCTCTCTCTACTTTCTCTGCCTATTTCCCCCCCCTTCCAAAATCTCTCTTCACTCTTTCTCCCTCTCAAACTATATATATATTATTTTTCTCTTCAACAGGAAACTCCTAGAAAGATTATTCAAGACTCGGTGGATATGTGCACCTCTGTTACTCCTTAACACATGGTTATCCTATAGAAGATGTTTGCATAAAGGTCATTAATGCCTGTCCAATTGCTAGAACCAAATTCTTTGTTCCGGCACACCAACTAGTAGGCTAAGTAGCATTTGACAACATCTACAACATTCTGCTCATCTTACTTTGCCCCATCTCACTGGGTTAATCCAAATACTCCAGTTTAAACTACCATAGCTACCCTAAGGATCCACAAACCACATATGTGGATCTACCCTCTTAAAGATGGGCTCACTCATCAATCTTTCCTTTTTTTGACTCTATACCTTTGCTCATCACTTATATATTGGTATTCCCCTATGTGAGAACCTCAAATTTCTTTCCTCCTGACTTTATACAGGCCTTCTGCCGAGATCTCATCCTTTTCCATGGCTTCAATCATTACCTATGTACCAGATACATTCTAATACCTTACTTGTCACCTTTAGGAACACATGCCTAATCACCTGAAGTCACCTCCTACTTGATGTTCCAATGGATAGGTCAAACACTTTCAAAATATGAATTTGTCATCCTCCCCCTTCTACATTTAGCCTGTTTTCTCCCTTTGTAGTAATCATGTCTAACAGTAACTTACCAGGCCAAATATGTGGGACCATTTTACACTCCCTATATTCTTCAACTCCCACAACCAACTGGAGACTAACAAATATTCTACAATTCCCAAAAAGCACCTAGGGTGATCTTTTTTTTTTTTTTTAATATTTACATCAGATCATGCCACAGTCCAGCTTTAAAAGTCTTCCAAACGCTCCCCAACCAATTTAGAATGACATACAAACTCCTTACTTTGGCCCTATGTGATCAGGCTTCCATCATCCCATCCAAACACCTCACTGTCCTCAAATCACAGGGGTCTTCTATCTGTTGCTGGAATGCACCAAGCTCACTCCCTTCACAGTACTTTTTCTTTTTGCCTCTGCAACACTGTTGTTATTATTTATTTCAATATTTGCCTCCCTGATCCTCAAATGTCCTTACATTTTGTAGCTCAGGTGCTCAGCAAATATTGGCTCAATATGAATTACCTGGTTGTTATTCATCAAAATATTTATTAATATATTATAGATTCATACCATGAGAGAATCTATGTTCTTAAAGGCTTAGAACAGTCTAATAAATGTTATCAAATGTGAAATTTAAATAAAGACAATTTGTGACTAGAAACAGTAGCATACCTAGTTTTACCTTACCTTTTGTTATTAAACACAAACAGCAAGCAAAGATCACAAAGGATGAGATATACAAAAAAAAATGTAGTGAAAGCAGTTCTGTGAGTAAGGATAGCACTCACTGTCTTGGTTGTTAAGCAATACAGAAAGAGGCAACATCCTGTTTGGAATAGATACACGAAATTCGTCCTAGTCATGCTCTCTCATAATTCTCTTTCCTCTACTTTCTTGTCTCAGTTAAAATCTGGAATTTTTATTCATTAATAATATAGTATCAATCCCAGTTCTTAAGAATAGAAGCAAAAATAAGTAAACCAAAAAAGCTACATTTTTGTCATATGTATTATTCTGAGTCAACACATGGAGGGCGTGTCAATTTCAGATTCAAAATTCAACCACATCAGAAAAAATGAGATACATTTTTTAATGTAAAAAATGAGAGGATACAAGTTATTCTTCACTCAAAATTCAATGAGATTCCAACTAATACTATTTGGCTGGAAAAACTACCTTTTTCATAGCATTTACATTTCTTAGGCTTTGGTTTTTCTGTGTTTTTTTTTTTAATCAAAAGCAGAAATATTAACATAACATGTATACTAGATGTTACATGACATCTGGGGGCTAATAAGGAGTAGGAAGTAATAAAAAATTAACAGAGTCTAATACTCATGAGAATGTTTTCACAGATTTGTAGAATCTTTGGTACAGATGTTTCAGATAAATGTCTAGGGACTGAATTCCTATCCATAGTTATGAGCTTTGGAGAGGTTTTTTTTTTTTTTTTTTTCCTTCTGTCATAAAGCATTATCTTGGCTGTTTATTGGACTCTCTGTAATCAGAATCAAATTGGAATGACAGCAGAGAAGATGTGTTTTAGTATCCAGCACTTCTTTATGACTGAAGTAATGAAAGCAAAACCAAGTGTTGAGTTTAAGAAACATAATATATGATATTCAGGGACTACAGAGCTCTTTAAGATAAAGTCCTAAAAATCTTTTAGCAGGTGTTAATTCATGAATGTGTCTTAACAAAGTTTGTAACAGCACTATTATGTATTTCCATATCAGTTTAGGTAGTAAAGAATGTCCATGATTATATGTCATTATCATATCCTAATTAGGGCTCATTATACAGATGAAAAAGCTGAGACTCAGAGAGGTTACATCTCTTTTACAGTATCACACAGCTATTATTTTAGCAGGGTCTGAAGGTATTATAATTACTTTCAGTAAAAGTGTAATTAATTTCCAGAGAGTCACACTTGTGCCCAGAATAATTAGATCAGAAATTTCCTTAAAATTGAAGTATTTAACAGAAAATTGTTTTTTATGGTGATTTTTTTTCACAACAGTTACACAGAGTTTATGACGTTGTAATATTTCCTTAGAGTTTTTATTAATCACACGCACACATACACACACACACACCCCAGATGTGCTAGTTAATCACTCTTTAAGAATACAGTCTTTATTATTTTGGATTTCAGTTTTCTGACCTTAAGTAAAGCAAGGCAGCACATCAAAAGAGTTCACTTTTTTTTCATTCTTCCAATCTCTGACAATTAAGAACACTCATCACATTCACTTAAAATGCCTATTCAGCGCTAAAAAGAGTTTTGAAGGAAGCCTCATCTTATGGATTTTGGCTATCACTCCTGATTATATCCACTGATACAACTTCAATGAAGGCATTTGTACTTTAGGTTGTCCTATAAAATTAAGTTGTGGCTATTTAATTAAGAGGGCAGTGAGTTCTTATCTCAGCAGTTTATCAATCTATTTTTTTTATTACAAAACTTTAAGCTTTACCAGTTAGTAAAGATAAAAAGAGGGCCCGGGAAGACACAGACCTCGAGATCAACAGCTTTCTGGAAAAGGCTATGAATCATATCTCTTGATCAGTCACTGCTCAGAAAACTTCCGGCAGCATGCCTTTGGAGCTATTTCCAAAAGTGCTGAAGAGTCCATGTGTTTACACAGGACTTTGTTATGAACAAAGAAAATACCATTTATATATATTTTAAGATGCACATGGCAAGTTCTGTTCTTCAAACCAGTTGTTCAGACAAAAAGGCTCCACTTAAAATTGGAAATGGGATTTACTGCCAGCACAATCAGTGTTAAATTATTCAGACATCAAAACAACAGCAGAAAGTCAGGATCTGAGAAAACACCTGGAGATGTGTTATTCAGGAGTTACACATATTCCACTGTGCTGACACTCTCACTCGTTCATAAATTGCACCCAAAGAAATACATATGATAGAATGTGACCAAATGGTTTCTTAAGCAGGAAGGCAGGCAAAAGAAATTTCTAGTCCATTTCCAAATGTAGTTTAATCAAAAGTGAAGATAAGCATTATATTTTAGAATAAACATGATTCTTACCATCTGAGATTGACTCCTAGGACATCCATTGATATCTTCAACTTTTTCATTTGCTAAAGCCAAGAAATAAAATAAAAGAGAGAAAAAAAGAATGACATGCTTAAGCAATGACGTGAAACACAAAAGAAGGAGACTAAGAAAACAAAAAAACAAAAAACTAAAAACAAGCACAATGCTGCTGCTACATTCACTCTTGTCTCCCAAGCTGTGTACGAGGGGACACACTTGTTAGCCGCCAAGTCCATATGCACAGATCAGGCCAAAAAAAAAAAAAAAAAAAGTGAGTGAGAAGGAAGTTGCTGCTAATTCTTTAGCCTGTGCCAAATGACTGCTGACATGAAACCTTTCACAATTGTCCCTGCTGGATCAGGATACAGTTTCAAGGAATCTCAGAGTGTATGAGTTGCTCTAGCTAATGAAATGCACACATGGGAGACATATGGTTTAATGAAGCATTCATTTCTGACAATTCAGTGTATGTAAAGATCCAGTTCTAGCCATTTAAAAGTATAGCCAAACTGCTTTTTTCAAACATTCTCACATAAACATTTTTAATTAAAACATGGGAGAGCTACATGAATCTCAGAGACTCATGGACCGAGTTCCTATGCATTCAACTGAAATTGTGTTTGACCAAGGTGGGTGGGGGCAGAGACTTTCATGATTTTTCCCGGAGGGCAGGTCTTACCAATGATCTGGATGATTTCAGCTAGCAGGACTCCATCTGCAATGTCTTGCTGCAAATCCTTGATCAGCCGCTTGTGGCCCGATTTTGCTAGGTAGTGGTTGGCCCAGTCAGTATAAATCTGTTGAACAGAGGGGGAGAAGAAGTACGATGGTGTGAGAGAAAATAGAGACAATAAAAATGCTTAAGACAAATGTTGGATTCAAAGGGAAGCTATTCTGGATCACATTCCAGTCCAGTTTAAGAAGTCATAGCTCAAAAGGAAATAGTTGTAAAATAATTTTATACAGCTCTCTCTCCCACTTACCTCCTGTTTCAAAGGAGGATGATTCACACTCTTTCAAAACCAGGGACTCGTCACTTGTGACACAGCAAAACTCCCTTCCCGGATGACTACTGAGGAAACTCCTGTTTGCAAATCACTTGGGTTTTCACTCTTTCCCCTGGTTCTGTCATCCTGAAAATAATCCTGCCTGTCCTTGTAAAAGGAAACCACCTGGACTGATTTATACAGGAACCTATTATAAACATTTCTGTTTCTCTGATACTTGATTAGATTTGTCATGTGAGATACTGTATGTGACAATATTTTGGCATCATTCTATGAAATAATTGCAAATGCCAAAGATATTTTATTTGGACTGTCATTTCCCATTTAAGCCTCTTGAAATGTGTTTATATAAGAAAACAGAGGAAGCAAATACAGTTATTACATAGAAATTACAACAGAGAATTGAGGAGTGGATTATAAGTCATAAGGTTGGCAATCTGTCAAAAAGTAGAGGTGACTCTTCAATAGTAAATTAGGACAAAGAAAAGCTGGGATTGTTAAAAATTTTCACAAAATAAAATACTACTAATGTTTCAAATGTTATGAGACACCTTCTAAGGTAATCTAATTATAAGGAAATAAATAAGCATTAAGATGTTTCAGTTTTATGGGTGGTTCCTATGAATATATTAGTAAGTTTATAACAAGGCAGACTATGATAGATGATGTAACAGAAGAACACAATATCTGAGATGACATTGGAGGAGAGGAACTGATTGAGAAATACACATATAAAAATGTGCTATAGAAGCACAGTGGAACCTGGACACAAGAAGTGAAGGGAAGGGTCATCTGGGTGGCTCAGTCGGTTAAGCCTCGGCCTCTTGGTTTCAGCTCAGGTCCTGATCTCTGGGTTGTGAGATAGAACCCCTACTCAGGCTCTGAGCTCAGCAGGGAATCTGCTTGAAGATCCTCTTCCTCTGTCCCTCCCCCCACGTGCCTGCATGCCTGCTGGCTCTCTCTCTCTCAAATAAATAAATCTTAAACAAACAAACAAACAAAAAAAGGAGTGAAGGGAAGGGCCTTCCCCACAGAGAGGACCAGATAAAGAAAGGCAGAATGGCAAAGGAACCAAAGACACAGTTGGAAAATTTGTAATTAAGGTAGCAAGCCGGAAATTAGGACACATTAGACGGGAAAGGTAAATTATATCTTTTAGTCATAAGCACTGAATGCCAAGCAAATTATAAAAATTACTTTTTGCTTCTAACGAAACCAATGCATTTTTTTGTAAAAATGAAACAAAGTAAATCAGAAGTGTAGAAAGTAAGAAGTAAAAGTTTCCCCACAACTTGCAACCCCTACTCACTTTTGAATACTTTGATATGAATAATTCTAGAATTTTGTTCTATGCCTACACACTTCACCACATGACACCACATTACACACCTTCACATACATACACACACGATAGGATTTTTAACCATATATGGCTCAAATTTCACATATCATTCTCTGCTTCTCAACTTTTTACATAACGATATTTTAATAGCACTGCTACAAACATTTTACCTATATGTATCGCACTATTTTTGATGTTATGTTGTACATAATATCAATCCTCCTATTGAAAGATATTTAATTTGTTTAAATATGTTTCTAATGCATCTAAAGTTGTAAGAGACATCCTTAAAATGTATCTTTGTACATTTACACCCTAGTATCTTTATAGAACCAAAACCTAAAAGTGGGACTGTGAATTTTTTTTAAACGGATCCTAGGCACAAACATTCCAAAATACAACTTAGAAGTCAAAGAAAGTACTTCTTCAGTTTAGAAAATATAAAGTGGCATCTTAATGCAATGTGGTGGTGATTAAATTTCCTAAAAGACTATAAATAATTGGAAGCATCCAACTACATTAGAAAAATATATGCAATAACAGTATTATACCTCCTTTCCATATATGTTCATGATCCTCTTTATATCGAAGATATTAGTGTGAGAAAAGGTACTTGCCTAACTGCTAATTAGAAAACAGAAACATGATTCCTAGATACTCTTATTTGGGGATTATTTTCCTCAAAATTTTATTCTACTTGCATTTTCTATTTTGCACTACAAAAATATATTTTTACAAGGATTTATACTGTTCAGAATCTAAAACATTGAGGACTTTCTGGTCATCGATACATCATTCAAATGATAGCATTAATTGTTTGGCCTTCTACTAGAAATTTTAGGTTGAGTCAGACTTGATTTGTGCCCTTATCCCCTTAGGCAGTAAGTTATAAGGACCAGTTAACCGATTTTAAAGCACCCCACAAAGATGAAGAACATGAGTTCTGGAGTCAGTACACCTGGCTTTGAGGCCCACCCCCCCGGGAAGACGTTGGACAAGTTTCTTATCCTTTCTAAACTTTAATTTCCCCATCTGAAAAATAAGCATGATAATAATACTTACATTGTAGGATCATGTTAGGACAAAATAAGACAGCATTTGTAAGGTGCCCCTCACAGAGTTAGCCCTGAAGAAATGTCTGCTCTTATTATCATCATTATGGCATCAGTTTTATTTGCTATGGAGGCTTTCCAACAAATATTTATTAAGGTTATTGTTTTGTAGAGGTTAAAAACTTTGAGAGGATTGGCAGAAAATTGAAAAAAATTGGACTCCTTGCTTCTTTTTTTTTTTTAAAAAAAGATTTTGCTTATTTATTAGAGAGAGAGGGCACAAGCTGGGGAGATGGAGAAGCAGACTCCCCACTAAGCAGGGAGCCTCACCTGGGGCTCGATCCCAGGACCCTGGGATCATGACCCAAGCAGAAGGCAGACACTTAACTGAATGAGCTACCTAGGCGCCCCGGGCTTCTTGCTTCTGACACTGCTCATGTCTCTGACTCCTCCTGCCTTCTTTCTGATTCACTGCGGCCACCCATCTGTCTGCCATCCATACTCAGAGCCGTGAATCTAATCCTAAGGTTGCCAGGTTCTCATTCCTGTCTGCAACATGTCCCTTGTGACTTCACCTCCATCAGGCTCTATGTTGCAAATATTTTGTTTTACGAAGGCATTAAATTATGCAAAAAAATACTTATTCAAAGACACACAGAATGGAATGTATTAGAAATGAAAATAAGAATACTTTCATTCTCCTAATGCATGTCAACAGTGTCTTAGCCTCTATCCAAATTGCTCCTGGAACTTAGGTGAGAAAACAGATGGGAAGCCAGCTGGTTGGCTTCAAGACTGACTGGAAAAGCCTCTGATTTAGCTCATAAAATGTTTTTTACTTGGTCCAGGATTTCTTCCAGAGGAATCCCAAGCTTAAGTGCTTTGACTTGTTTCACATCTTTAATATGTGAAACTGCTCAGACTATAATCTCTGACTTTAGTTGCAACCAGCAAAATCAATTCAGACTATATAAATAAACCAAAAATAAATCTCCATTGAAAAAAGTCCTTTTACTTACTCTTTCTTAATATGTGTAAAAGATAGTTCAGGCCCTTCAAACAAATCAGTACCTTTCAAAACGATGTTATAATCTAGATGAAACATGAAACAATTACAAAGTAACTTATAAATATATTTTAATATTATATTTAAACTTATTTTTGTCTTTTAAAACTTTATATATATATATGTATATATATATATAAATTGGAGAAAAAAGTGAAAACATGAGGTATATCTTTAATGAGATAATCTTCAAGCAAAGACACACGGTATATAAATATATGCAAAACTCATCAGTAAACTTACTGTACTACTCTGATAAGAGAGGATACAAACAACCGTGGCAACTGTCACATTAGAATCTATTGTTCAAATAAATATAACAGAATGGGAAAATCATGTCCAGATTTTGGATCTGAACTCCAAAGTTGCCTTTGGTTCATTGTCACACACACACAAAAAATCACAATATTTAACCTCTTAGCCTCACTTGAATGAACTACAAAATGAGGGGTAATGATTTCTGTAGGATTATGCTATAAAGTAACAACTACAGGTTTTTAGTGAACAAACATATTATTGGGCACAATATCAAATTAATCATAAATTAATATTTAGTCATCACAGCCTGGCTGAAGCTTTAAATATAATTTATCTCTAAATATCTGAAGTCAGTTTTCCTCACCTGTTTTAACTCCAATATTATAAATGTAAATGTCATCTCATGCGGTAATTATATTTTAGGAAATTCTGAAAAATTAATGAGATTAGACTTACCAAAGGATACTTAGAGGTTCAGGTAAAATCATATATACATTAACTCATTTACTCTAATTAAATATGATAAAAATCAAAGGTACCATGGCATAATTTATATTTCATATTAATCAGCATGACTTTTAGGGCCTATTATGCAATAGTATGCATTCTTTGAGGAACATTTTATATTGTTGGAATTTCTGCCCTGTCACTTAATATCCATGCAGACATTGACTGAACATGTATTTTCTCTCAGTGTCAGAGCTTTTGTCATATGTAAAATGGCAATAATAGTATTACCTACTAATGGGATTATTGTGAGGATTGAATGAATTTATACTTTTGGAACACAGCTTTTCACTTAATAAGTATTTGTCAAATGTTGAACATTATTATTCACTATTTTAATATAAACTACATTTATATTATAATGAGTTTATTAATATTATGAACTATTATAATTTTCAAATTCTTCAATCTTAGCTATCTGCCCAAATGTAGTTAACCTAACTAAGGAAAACTGTTGCAAGATGTGACGATCTCTTAGCTTAGTCATTTGCTCTTATAATATTTCTCTTAGAATGCTTATTTCTCATTATAAAGTAATGGGTTCAAATAGAAGGCAATATATCTG